TTTGCATGATATTGGACATTTTATTTCGACTATTTTAGTTACCATGCCGTCACTGACTACTATTCCATCTACTGAGACTCCTAACCAGGCCTGTTTGGGAGACACAAATAATCCAATTTGAAATACGTGAACATCATGCAGTAATTTGTAATTTTCGCGAGCTTTTACCTCATTTTGAATTCCATAATTTAAACTTTTCGGATGCAGAAAATCCTGTAGTAAAGATTCAGCTGAAGTGCGAGTTATTGTTTTTATCTTATGAGCTTTTGCGCTGGCCGTTATGCGTACACGTCTTGCTTCAAACCATTATACCGTCTCGCTTTGTTGTGTGGTTTGTAAACACAATGTGAAAACTTCTTCACTGTCTAATAGTATCTCGGTCTGTGCTATCTTAGATGACAGAGCCAACTTGTCTTTTCCTATGGTGATACACTGACCAGCACTCTTTAAAAGACAAGCAATCACCTTTTTCGTACACTCTGATATTAGTTCTACCTGTCGTTCTTCGAGACATATATTTATGACCACCGTACAGACTTGTTCTTCCTCACTAATATGATCGACTTTTAACCTTTTTTTAATTGGGCATTCGATATCGTCAAAGTCTTCCAAAGTCAAGTGCAGTGGCTGAGGAGGATTTTTAAGCACTTTTTGAGGAAAAAGATTATTTACCGTAGCTCCTCGAGAATATATCGATGGAAATCCCCACTCTTGCTGAACACTCGTTTTAGACACACTCCGGTCATTGTTTATTCGGTGGATAAATGCCGCAATATGTTTGCATTCGCCAGTTTCTTTGGCAATGCAAGTACATTGAGCATGTACCACCTCCCCTTTACTATTCAGCTAAAAAAATTAAAGAATCAAGTAAAAAAGCCACTTTTAATGTTTTTTTTTTCTGTAATCTGTAAATTATATGGTGTTTCAGTGTCGCACGTTTGCCGAATGCATTTAGCAATTAACTTATTGTTAATATTGCCACCAACGTATTCTTCAATGTGTTTAATATGACAAAAAGCCAATTTTTTTCCTTTTTCTAGCGTACCTGCAGTGAAAATTATTGAATGGGAGATATTTTCAAACCCGGTCTGCAATATTACCGATGCCATATTTTCAGGTTATGCTGTCAATAAAAAAACTATTATTATTTGTTTGTTACACGTTTTAATTACAGAAAAAAAAATTTGTTAATATATAATTTTCACGTACCTTTCGTTTAAATCACTTTATACTACTTATCCATCTCAAAATTTATTGTTAATTGTTTTATTTATAAATTAACACGTAAAGACAATGATAAAATTGCGAAAAGCGAATAAAGACGATGCGATGGGAAAAACTCAAATGTACCAGTGGTTTGTTCCCTTCAAAAATGGCGACGAGTCAATTGATGACCGACCTCGTTCTGGACGTCCATTAACTGCTCGAATCGAGGAATATATTGAAAAGATTCGAGAGTTTGTGCTCACAGACCGTCGACAGACAATTGAACAATTATCAAAGATTAGTGGGTTGTCTTGGAGCACGGTTCAGCGAATTTTAACCGAAGATTTGGGAATGAAGAGTTGCTGCCAAGTTTGTTCCTCGTGTTCTGACTGACATGCAAAAAGAACATCGAGTTGAAACATGTCGTGCTTTGAATCAACAGCTTGAAACGGATTCAGATTTTCTTTCAAAGATTACTGGTGACGAGTCATGGTGCTAGGGTTACGATCCAGAAACGAAGCAACAGTCCAGCCAATGAAAGACGCAACTGTCTCCCCGTCCTAAAAAATGTCGTCAGGTCAAATCAAACATCAAGACGATGCTGATTTGCTTTTTCGACATCAACGGCGTAGTTCATGCAGAGTTCGTTCCACCAGGTGAGACCGTTAATCAAGCTTTTTATCTGGAAGTTTTAAGAAGATTGCGCAACAGTATTCGACAAAAAAACCCGGCGGACAGGGGACTGGTTCTTTCACCATGATAATGCACCTGCACACACAGCCATTTCTGTTAGCAGTTTTTGGCTAAAAATGGCATGGTTCCTCTGCCGCATGCATCTTACTCGCCTGATCTCGCTCCGTGTGACTTCTTCTTATTTCCACGTATGAAAAGGGACGTGAAAGGACAGCGATTTGACAACATTGAAGAGGTCAAGAAAAAAAAACGAGGGATGAGCTGTCGGCTATAGCCAAAGATGAATATAAAAAATGTTTAGAACAGTGGAAGCACCGCTGGTACAAATGTATTAGTTGTAATGGAGAGTACTTTGAAGGGGATAAGGTCGTTCTGTGATTTGTGTATTCGTTGACATTTTAACTCCTTTTTAAGTTTTACTATAAATTTATTCACAACATGTAATGTTCTGATCGTAATAAGCGACTAAGATGTATTCCTGTAGAGGTTTAAACGTAATGCAGCACCTCATTCGCCTCCAACTCCCACGACAAGACCTCCAGTCGTGTCGGGTAAAATCGAGTTCCTCTTTTCGAAGCAAAGTTCTGCACAATCGGGAGGCGTCATATATCTTAATATAAAATTAGCCCCGCTCCTCCGGAGCCACCTCTATCTAGCCCACCAATTAACGTCGACATTAATAGCGATCTGTTATAAATGACGTATTCGCGTTCGGGTCGAATATATTTCGTCGCGCCCACACTAAACGCCCAAATTGCCCTCGAAATCAGGCGACGTCAGGAAGCTTCAAACGTGGCAACATTCATTCGCAGTTATTGGAAACTGAGTATTAGATTAAACGACGCCGATACATCGGACCGGCGAGCTCGTTGTGCGTATATCGACGTAATGGAAAGATGTAACGAAGTGTCAAAGGGGTAATTACCGGATAATGCTGGCAGAGCATGTGTTTACTAGAGAGGATTTGGCACGCCCAAAAGGAGTTTTGTCGATCGTTATTTAACGCGGGACGTCGGGCAACATGCTTGATTAATTTCGGAAAAAGCCCAATGGTGGTAACACTGACTAAATTTTTGGAGATATCAAATACTGCTTCCAACATTTCGAGAAGGGACATTCAATATAGGCCCAAAACTAGTATTTTTTTTGCATTCTACTAAATGTTCATTAAACAAACGAGTTAGGTGTTTGGAGATCGCTGTTTGGAAAAGAAATTGCGCAAAATGTCGGTTATAGTGTGTGGAAATGTGTAATAGCCATATGCTGTGTTCCAATAATGTAATTTAAAGTAAAAATTTATGGGCGTGAGTTTCCACGCGTCAAATAAATGTAAAGAGACAAACGACCACACTGAGGTTCAAAGCAAACCTGGTGGTCCGGGAGCCCTGGACCTTTTTTCAAAATGATAAGCAACAAGCTAATTCTTTGGAAATCGTTTCATTTCATCAAGACGCCCAATCTTTTCCTCTACGAAAATTGTTGTAGCAGGCAGCTAACTGTACGCGCAGGTATAAAATCATGTCAATTTAGTGGCCATCCCCAAAAAGTGATGAGCAACCTGCTAAATTTTTTACTGTAGCTTGCTAATCATTTTTATTAACAAATGATCACATTGTCCTACAAATAAACTGGTAGGATTTTTCAGTCCTACACTTTAAAGTTGTTGACCTCACGATAATACGTAATTCGTCAGCAACTGTAGGAAACCAAAATTAAATGAAACTTTATGACATTTTCTATCTAAATCAATTAATGTCCTACATAAAAATGGGTAGATTTCGCTCTAAATTACGGTCTAACCTATAAATTTGTTTGTTCTTAAAATATTCCTGCAGCCATTATCTATAATGCTGTTTTATACAAATGAATTTAATTAAGTTGTTTCATTATTATTTATAATTTAAGAAATCAACATTTTTTTTTCATTTTTTTATCGTCTCTCGTCTCTCTTTTTTCACGAAAATTAGGTTTATCACGGAGTATATTACAAAGAAAACACTCCGTGATCACTTTCACAATTAAATGTTAAAAAAAAAATTAATTAACACGTGTTGACAAGCCAAATAAACAAAACTTTTTAATGCACAATGTATGTTGTATGCGTGTGCTGGATACTACGTTGGTATGTTACGCGCATGCGCGTCTGATGCGAATATATACCGCCGATTTGATATTAGTATGTGTATGTATACATATACACGTATATTCGAATATACACGAATGTACGTGTAAACACGTTTAAGTTAGAATCAATTTTCGAAATTTTCCAGAGTAGGACTGAAAAAACCTACCATTTTATTTGTAGGACAATGTGATCATTTGTTAATAAAAATTATTAGCAAGCTACAGTAAAAAATTTTGCATGTTGCTCATCACTTTTTATAAATAAATAATAGATACAACTTTGAGGGGGTGGCCACTCTATACCAAACCTATTTGTTTGTAGGCCAAATTTAATTTCAAATGATATATTTCAATATCTATGGATTTAACTAAAAACTAAACTGTTGCTGATCTTTTTGGTATGGTAACTAAATAGCCATGATTTTATACCTGCGCTTATAGTTAGCTACCTGCTACAAACTAACTTTTCACAAGAAGTAATTTTTTTTTAGCTTACTGCATCTTACTTGAGTTAGTTGTTCTGTTAGAAAATGCGGATGCGCACTTACTTAAGCTTACTAAACTTATACCTAACCGCGCCAGAAATCGCAAATATATCTAAATCTAATTCCGAAAACAACACTGATCAAGTGTTCAGTTATAGATAGAAATCAGAGAATCAATATTCTCATATAATAAATAAAATTAATATATATAATTTATTTGTTTACTTAGTTAACTAAACGTTTCAATTCGATCTCGTAAGACAAAATCTAGGTGACTCGTTCCTGAATTGTAGCCTTCAGATTCAGATAATAATTGAGGCGAACCGCAGGGTATGTATGTTCCATTTCGAACAAGCGTAATCTGTTCTAAATTATTGAATGTTCAAGAATTAAATAAAATTTGACGCACCAATTTGAACGGCTCAGTAATACGGATTAATCATAATGCATTGAACAATGAATGAGAAAAATCCTTCCGACCCAACTGTTTACCTTTAAAATGTTTGGGGCAGCAAACGAACTCTACGCCGCTGAACAGCGATATCCCGCAAGGTAGCAGCATGGCGAACGAGCGCAATTGGAGCCCTTTTTCCTGACACGCCGTTCCCGCGGTTGAGTTCCACTTGGAGAATGTCCAGCAGTTGCTTTGGTTGTGAATGTGATCAAACATGCAATTCTCTGGGACTAGAAGAGCGTCTGATTGGAATGGACCCTCTGGAAGGGAACAAAAGTAATAATTATTATAGGTTTTCAATCGATATTCAATTTAATTTCCAATTCCATACCAAATATAAGCAAAAGAGATATGCAAGTTATTTGTTAAGGCGGTGGTTTTGTTGTGCGTGGTCTAGCCAATATTTATAACTCTTTTGTAAAAATATAAAAATGTAAATTGTTGCTCTATTCGAAGTTTATGAAGTTTAGGAAAAATTAACTTCTTTCGAATATTTATTCAGTAAATGTATACATTTACTAGCCAATGCAAACATTTGCTAAACTCCGTAGTTAAAGTATTCATTTTAACCGAAATGAACACATTTGCTAGTGGATGTATGCATTCACGGACTGCTTCTAGTCAAAGTGGGAAGTGGGTTAAATTTACCGGGAAACCTAAAACCTAACCTCTTTGATAAATTGGTTAAGGCTTTCGCGGCCCGTTGATAAGCTATTACATTGATTCGGGTTTAAAGGCCGTCGTCGGTTGGAATTACTTCCTAACGTTTCGCTAGCACGAGTGGCGGGCTTCTTCAGAGGTCCTTCCATCTCCGATGTTGGACGTCGACTACGTCAACAACAACAACGTTAGGAAGTAATTCCAACCGACGACGGCCTTTAAACCCGAATCAAGATAATAGCCTAACCTCTTTATTCCTGCTGCACCGTTTGCTGTTTGTTGGTTTTCCGTTTGAGATTCTTAGTAAGTGAATTGTTTAAATTGTATGTGTCCAGAGTAATTAATAATTATTAATTTTTTTTTAGTCATAAATATAAAATGGATAAAAAGCGATGAAAGTTAAATTCCACGAATATATTAACAATACTCCAGAAAAAGCTAACGACTTTCGTATGACTGCGGAAAGATATGCAAAACTAATAAATGATGTTAAATCCTTTAAATCTGCTAAGAAAAAAGAAAATCGTCACTTCTGGTTACTAAAACATTATGATATAGTGTATGTATGTAATGTGGATAAACTAATTGCACCAATAGCAAATGAAAAAGTGCTGTATTATGGTACTGTTGAAGAATTGTTTGAAGTTTTATATGAAACTCATTTATCAATTGGACATGGCGGACGAGACAGAATGAAAAAGGAACTTAACCTTCGCTTTAAAAATATAACAGCACAAGATATTCAAACATTTTTAAATAATTGTGAAGTGTGCCTTAAAAAAAGGGCGAATGAAAAGAAAGGCTTGGTGGTTAAGCCAATGGTGTTTTCTCATTTTAATTCAAGATGTCAAGTAGATTTAATTGACTTCCAATCACAGCCCGATGATAAATTTAAATTTATATTGATATACCAGGACCACTTAACAAAGTTTGACATTCTTAGAGCTCTTAAGAATAAGACTCCTTCGATTTTTTTTACTATTTGGGGCACCATCTATTTTTCAATTGGACAGTGGCCGAGAATTTGTTAACCACGTCATTGCTGATTGGAAAGGTTTATGGCCTGAATTAAAAATTGTTCATGGGAAGCCACGCCACAGCCAGTCTCAAGGCAGTGTGGAGCGTGCGCATCAAGATATTGAGAATATTTTAACCGCATGGATGCGACAAAATCAAACCAGTAATTGGAGTAGAGGATTGGATTATGTGCAGTTTATGAAAAATCGAGCCCTTCACGCTGGTGTAAAGCGAAGTCCTTACGAAGCAATGTTTGGACAACCCGCCAAGGTCGGTTTTACCTTTTCTTCCTTACCACACGAGATATTAAACAATATAAACAGTGAAGAAGATTTTTATATTATAACTAGCTCTAGTGCAATAATCATCGAGCCAATAATTAATTTAATTATTCGCTAAACTAAATTTTATTTTGAAATTCATCAATTAACGCTTTGACTGCAGTTAATGCATGCAGTTACTAGTTAAAGTGTTCATTCCAATAAAATGGGAAGTGAATGTATGCATCGACTAGTATATGTATACATTGACTGGAATGTACACACGGATGATTGTTAAAATGAACCTGAAAAATCTCTTACAACAGAAGAAACATACGGAATTCAATACTTTCCAAGCATGCTAGGTGAGGGAAATCCATCTTTTTATACAGATTTCCAAAAAATTAAAAAAACGTTAATAAAAAAAGACCCCGACAGTTGAAAATCAATTACTTTCTGTAAAAATCGCCACGATGCTATCTCCCGTATTTATCCGAAATGTTTTAAACGATCCACGCGATTTTCGAAGAGCAATTGGAAGTGCACGCCCCAATTCCCAATCGCGTCATATTCACGATCCATAAAACTGATAGTTTTTCCGTTATTGCGCTAACTAACCCCCCTTGTGCGAGCGAGTGAAGGGGGCGGCAGGGTGGGCGTCCGATTGCAGTGACTGACGGGCGCCGCGCCCCCATCCTTCCGACCCCCACCGCCGGCACATTTCCATAAAGGTAAAAATGCGAATCACTTTTATGTTTACTTCGGCAGAGGTCGAGACCTCCGCAATATGTGCGAGTTCGATGAGTCGCGAGGAGTTTTAATAAAATGGCCTGCGTATTTGTGCGGATTTTCTCATAAAGCGCAGGAAGGGAGTCAAGTTGGCGCGACACACGACTGCGTTACACTTTGAAGGCGCTTAAAATAAAACGTCAATAAGCACACACGCCCCGGAACAAAAAGAAATTTAAACATTTGATATCAGAAGACCTACCTCTTCATGTTCTGTTTGCGTTTAGGATTACAAATTGATTATTATGTGTCTACACGTTTTTTTGTACGTTACAATAAAATTATTATAAAAAAGCCGGCGTACTAACGACTTTCAAAAATTTTATGATAACTAAATTTTCTTTGTTCGATATTTTAGGCTCGAAAGAAGATATCGGAAATACGATTTTCACTAGATTTTTTTGAAAAAACAAATCATATTATTGAATTTATTTTTTCTTGAGACGAGAACGAGAGCGCTCTAGCGGCATTACAAAGAATTAAGCATAGGTCCAACGAGACCAAGTTTTTAAAAAAAATAAAATTTATGAAAAATCGCTGAACCATCCTCATCCATTTAAAAATATCTACCTTGAAAAAGCATCTATTTTTTTGGTAGATTTACTTCTTTTTATCACTTTGGTAATCATTTTTGCGCACGCACTACAATTTGATTAAAAAGAAGCAGACATCTTAAAATCTATTCGTGGAAGTAATAATAACGCTCAGCCCGACTCATTGAAACACCTTACATCTGTTCACAACCTTCCAAAGACAATGAACCCGAAAGCAACCCCACACTTGCCACATTCAAACATCACTGATCACATATCAAAAATTCTTAAAAAATATAACATAACAACAAGATTTACCACTTGTCCCAAAATCTCTCTTCGATCCGTCCGGCAAAACATCGGAGAGACCGGATGAAAAATATCAACTACGCTCAGAGAACATGAAAGAACATTAAGACTAAGACAAACTCAGCAGTGGCTGAACACATTCACGAAACCGGACATAAAATTTTATTTGATAAAACTAAAATTTTCTTATTTAACCAAATTCATAAGCAATGAAACAATCTTAACCGCGACTAATTTATAAATATTTTAGGTATTATTATACCCATTCAGGAAGCAAAGAATAAATTCGGTAAAAAGTTAAGTTCTTTTTAGGGAATACTTAAATATATAGTGTTCTTAATTAACAGACAGTGACAGTAATTTGTAGTTTGTTGCAAAGAAACACTTGGGATATTGAGCACGTATTTTGACAATTCGATATTGACGTTCGGACTTATTTGGTAGTCCTTTCAATACAATGTGATTGCGAGTAGAGTAGGAAATAAATTGATACTAGAAGCATTTTGCCCATTTGTAATTGCTGGTGACACACCAATAATTTACCATCGCCGACTTTAATAACGTTAATTTTAGCAATGGGCGTTTTGATATCTGCGAATACAATTTCGGACGGCGGATTTTAGGCGACTCATCGTCGAAATTAATGACTGCGTGCCTGTGATAAATGCTTGTATCTAGGTGCGACAAAAGACACAGACCGAATGGCCGCGGGTATCATTGTTTTGCCATTCTGGGATTAGCCCGATGGACGCCGTGTTTTTATACGTGCTTTAAACTCGCTATTGCAAATCCAATTTAACGCGATTTTGTTATTAATATATACAACAGTTCAATTATTGTCAAAGACGTTCACAGGTTTCCAAAATGTGTCTCTTAGAGTGTTTTATGAAACTAATGAGAGCTGGATTATTGTCTTGATAAACCGAGTCTTTTTATTTTCATTGCGTTGCCTTTTGCCTCTTTTTTTCACCATCACCCACGACCTATTGGATGTCTTTGAAATTGGTATTAGATAATTTCTTACACTGACATTATAATTTTGCTTGTAAAGTATTACAGAACATGCGCTTGGCTCAGTTCTATTCTAGGACTCGAACGTCAAACGCAATTGCGTCGGCCCCTCCCAAAACTAAACTTTCCCGAAGGCCCTCGGGGCAGAAGTGAAGAAGATGACGCCTTTAGTTTGAGCGGCAGCTACGCAGTTAACGTCTTCGACGCGAAGCCATTCACATTGCCTTTCACTCGAAGGAAAATCAAACACAACCATCCTGGGGGAAATAATAATATTTTTTCACTCTTTCTCAACGAAACTTCTACAGTCCTCCAGCATCAGATATTTTTCTAACCGCTACTTTTTTTGCAACGTTTTGACACCAACATTTTCAAAATCCGTTAAAAAATAAGCTCACAGTAAGAAAAAACCAGATAAGTAAATACATTTTTAAAAACAAAATATTACTATCCATCATCAAGTCGGCATGATTGAAAATTCTGACAGTTAGTACATTTTTATCTGATTATCGATTTTGTCGTATAATCGACAATAATCAAATTACAAATGGGAAAAAAGTTGATATGTTTCCGATATACGGGGAATGCAGAAAAAACTCTGGGAAGGCATTGTATGCAGCCCGCTATCCGGGACGTTGCGATGTTGTTGGATGCGTCAACGTAAATCCAGTTGCGTCGCTAAGAGAAATGGCATTAGAATTAGATATCTCAAGAGAATCTGTGAGGAGAATTAAAAAAAAAACACGACTATCATTCTTTTAAGTAGACAATTCATCAACATCTTTATGAAGCAGACTTTGCGTTAACGTAAGTTTGTTCCCTGATATGTTTAACAGAACAGATACTGATCTTTAAATAATCAAAGAATTATACGTCCGAGACAGTTTCAAGAGCGGTTCGGAATCAATGTTTGGCTAGGAATGAGTGGTGAGAAATGAAATTGAAGACTCGTTAGATGATTTACCTCTTGCCGTGACATTAAATATGTATTTTGAGCAGGATGGTGCGCCTGCCCATAATTTTAGAGATGTCACTGAACACCTACGTGATGTTTATGGGAATAGACTAATCTCAACAGTCAATTGTGTCTGTCAAAAGTGACAGATTTGGAAACAAAATATATTTTCTTGTTCTTCTAAGTCTCCGGTAAAAAGTGCTTGTAACTTACCTATGACGTATGTATACATAAAACACTTACGTTAGTTTTTGACTGTATCCCCGTATTCCAAAGCATATCAACTTTTTACCAGAATAAAACAATTTCAACAAAAAATTCTAATCGTTGAATCTCAGAAGAAACTCTCCCTTGAATTTTATTTTTTAAAAAATACTAATCTGTTTTTTCTTTCCACTGCATGAGCTTATCGAGAGTTTCTTCGGCATTTTTAATCTTACCGACTTGACAATTAATAATGAATAATACTTTGTTTTTATAAAAATGTATTTTTCTACTCCCGTCTGTAAAATACCTAATTACCCACCGATCTAGCGTGCGGAAAGCGTCACTTTACCACGTCAGTTTCGTTTCCCATGAATCCGAGCCACTTCGGACATTTCCGGGATTTTACCGCACGGATTTGGAAGCAATCGGATGTTTTCGGAGATATTTCCCACGCTTTGAATTTTGATGTCTATCAAATCTGACGGTTATGTCAGTGAATGTGTTGTTTTGCGAAAATGTACGCAAAAACTAACGGTCGTAGAAAAAGTATAGTATGCAACACGTTCGGTAAACTTTTTAACTGACTCGTTTATTAAAAACTCGTGAGTCATATGACGTTTACCGCACTTGTTTCATAATATACTATTACTCATTTGGTTTTTTCTTTCCTGTGAGTTTATTTTTTAACGGATTTTGAAAATTTTCATGTCAAAATGTTGCAAAAAAAAGTACCGGTTTTAAAAATTAATAGTTCATTATATTATATATATATATATATATATTATATATTGTATATATATATTATATACAATTAAAGAAAAGTTTCATTTACACGATGATGATTACAAATTTTTACTATGATGGTCACAGCCTTCTAGACGCAATTTTCAAAAATTAAATGAGACTAAAAAACAAACAAAAAAGAGAAAAACGCAAAAAAATAGGTTGTGCAACAATTGACTACATATTGTCAAAAAATTGGACATTCAGCCTATATTAACCCTTCCAAATTACGTTATCTCAAGCCGTTTAAAAGTTATATATAGTGTTCCCACTTTTTTGTGTCATTCGGTATTGTTTGAGCCCCCCCACCCCGCCACAGCTAAAGGAGGGGCTTGAAAATTGTCTCGGATGACGGGTTCTCGAATTTTTCTATGCTTTCTCTGAAGAAGCAAACAGGATGGCGAAATGTCAGCAAGTTTGATTTATAAACAACCGTATTATATTTTTGATTACTTACTTTAAATTACGTAATTATTCACTGAACAAGCATAGGGGTTTGGGAGTGATCGGATGTTTTCGGAACATTTTGGTCACTGATGGTATTTTGTTCGTGCCAAAGCGGATTACTGACTAAAGGGTGTTTTATCAAATTCGTTGATTTATACTTTTTATTATTATTTGATACTTTTTTAACGTTTAACAAGTTAAAGGAAATTCTTCAGGTTTTTAAATGCATAGGGCATAGATGATGTTTGCCATTGGAACTACTACACTGCTTAATGTTTTATATTAAAACAAACTTCATTATGTCTATCTCGTATGGAGGAACCTCTGAAAAATATTAATAATCCAACCCATTCAAGTTAAGCCGTATCAGTTGATTAAATCGCTTGACACTGTGTCAGATGAATTTTGAGCTGTTAACAGACCTAACACGCTGATAATGGGTAAATAAATAAATTAAATTAAAAAGTTAAATTGTTTTTAAAAATTATTTTGAATTTAGTGGAGTTTGGGTTTTACGCGTTTTTATTATAAAACGTAGTTTTGTCAGTAACGGATAGAGGTAACTTTTGTAAGTTAACAGTTAACACCGAATTTCAAATACAATTTAGAATATCTAATACTGTTGTTTGAATTGCATAACATTCCTTTGTCGCTCTATCCCAAGTGTCCATTTTCTGTTTGTTGTAAGCTGCAGGTATTCGTTTTTTTATTTTCCAAAACACACAAACGACTTTTTTGTTAATTGCGCATGTCCTCAAAATGATTGCAGGGATTTTGAGATAATGGCAGGTAGCGAGAAGCAGTAGAAGCCCTGATGTAGTTAATGACTGGGACACCACTTGATACTGCCTATAGGTCCAGTGGTGGTAACAAGAAAACTTGAAAGTCCCACTAATGTGGGTGTTGCAAAGGTGGAAATAATTTTTAGTTTTTTTGTTATTTAAAAGAAACTGCCGAGTTGGGTCTTGGCCGGAGGTGCAGTACCTCTGCTATTTGGCTTGATCGCTGTATTCGGAAATAAATTTATACAATGAAGCTGCTATGAGATTGTCGAATAACCCAAACATCGAATCAACATAAAAACAATGTATCACTGTCCTGTCATATATTTTACATTTATGGTCCCTACATTATTCAGTAGCTATATGTAAAATACCAAGTACTTTCAAACAGACTATGCATAGTTAGGGAAAAAACAATCTTCCCAAATCTCATTCATTCACCGCTATTTTGGCCTTTTTATTTGGGACGATAAAAATACATTTATCGGCGGTCGAAGTGGGGTTTCAACGTTTTAGGCGACGTCTTCCCTCTGACGTCGATGAAAAATTTCGCCCTTACGTGAAATATTGACGAAAATAATGCCGGAAAATCGTTTGTTTATTCCGAGCGGGGGGGCACGTCCGTCAAAGCAGGTAATACTTTCGACGCGTTTCGTTATTTTCGGGGTTTCCGCCGCGTTAAACGCCCCTACCGGCAAAATGAAGGTGATTTTGATAAATCGACGAAAATTCCATCGGTAAACGGTCATATTGTAGCGTTTTACAACATGGTTTCCTTACCAGCAAAGGGGTTTAACAACGCGCCTTATAACCTCACATCAATTGCACAGATTTAGCAAAGACCGAGTTACACGTTTGCTATTTATCGCAACATGACCTTAAGCCGTTCTCACCGATCTATTAATTGAACTTATTCTAATTTTAGGAGCGAAGTTGCAGAGACTGGATAATTTTCGTAGTCGTTTTTTTGTTAGCCACTAAAAATTTACGTTGTTAGAAATTAGCAAGTTATTTTTTAGAATCTTGTATATATGGACGAACTTTTATATATGGACATTGATCAAAATAATTTTTACTTGATAACGATCGCTTGGTAAACCATGGTAACATGGTAAATAGTTGTAAAATTGATCACACATCAATAGAATAGGGCGGTTGATGAGACATTCGAAACCTGCATTATCAATCGCGACCATCCAAATACAGGCAGGCACGGAGTGTCTGTCACACCAAGTCAACCCCGAAATTTATGTTTTTCTTTGTTTTCTTTCTTTAATGGAGTCAGGTAGTTTTGACATTAAAGCAGCATAATATTATACATCTATGATTCCCTGGAAGATTCGCGGTCCCGCGGATAATTTTCACTGGATCAGCTATATTTTCAAGGCTACAATCTAGATCGACCAACAATAAAATCTCTTGTTGTAAAACAAAAACTAATGGCCCGTTACTCACCTAAACATCTAAACGGCTTGACCCATCTTGCAGTTTTGCATTTCCCTCTGGATTGTGAACCTACAGTAGCACCGGCCCGACACCATGATCCAATTTTTAAGTAGTGGCTGCTCTCGACTATGTTGGTGATGTCCCTTTTGGGATACACCTGCAAATAAGAATGGCAACCTAATGAGGCCAAAGCACTTATTGAAGATATTTGAAGGAACCAAGACCATTCGGACACCACTATTAAAAAACCTTACATCTAATATTGGTTTCTAGATGGAGATGACAATAGATGAGCATTGTCAATGTAAATTAATGTGTCATAGCTGACCATACGCTTACAAATACGTCAAAATTCTTAGAATTGAGGTAGTTAATTATCTGTGACAATGAGTTTTTGCCAATTTTGTGCAAGACACCCAAATTATTATGTAGCAAAACAAATTGTACCCAGAATGCTGGGCAAATTGCAGCAGAAATTTAGGCTTTCAATTTTCAATTCAATTTCAATTACAAGTATATCAATAAACTAATATTTTCTGTCAATTTCATCGCATACTAAATTTCTCTTGTAACACGATACTTTACGAACTTGCAGTAGTGTTTCAAACTCTCTGCCTAGAAAGAAAATTGCAAGATCGATCGGTTTTTATTGACGACGATAACTCTTTTTCGCGAGGAAAAAGCCGGCAATGTTTCCGCCAAATTGCAGACGATCGATCAATCGTGAAGATTGCTATGGCCGAAAAACGTATCTGTTTTTCATTTGATCGCGCGTTCCAAGTGTTCCGCTCTCTCTTCTCGAGTCAACTGTCAACTCGCTATATAAACGTAATTTGTTAGTTTATTTTTTTAAACAAATCCTCAATTTACATCTAATATTGGTTTCTAGGGAATAATATTTATAAGGACCTGGAGATGACAATAGATGAGCATTGTCAATGTAAATTAATTTCATAGGTAACCATACGCTTACAAATATGTCAAAATTCTTAGAATTGAGATATTTAATTATCTGCGACAATGAGTTTTTGCCAATTTTTTGCAAGACACCCAAATAATTATTTAGCAAAACAACTTGTACCCCGAATACTGGGCAAATTGCAGCAGAAATTTAGGCTTTCAACCGTGAAGTACCACTAGGTTAGGTTGGGATAGCCTAAGGATCCTGGATACGCAATTAGAAAAAAAGTTGACAGATTTTCATAGTCAAAAATCTGACGTTTATGGAATAGATAAAAGAATAAAAACTATTTTCACAAGTGACATTAATATATTTAAGCGATGCCTGAAAATAATTTGACAGTGACGATCATTTAGACGAAATTTTCGGTTCATAAAAATAAAATAGAAATTGTACAACATTTCGGCGTCTTGAATGAAATAGCTACTGAGGACAATTTGGTGAATGCGCCCACTGCGTGGTATTTTCCAGTGGAATGTTAATATTTAAGGGGGTGATTTTTAAATCTACCGTCTAGACGTGTTGCCTATTCAGATTTAAGGGTGCAAAGTTTATAAAAACATATAATTTAATAACATCCCTAATACAATACAGATATTTTAATGGAATTTAACCACAGGGCGCGTTCGTAAGGAAACTGACCTGCAGATTCAAAGTTTTCAAACTCCCTTTCAAAACGGCCCAAGTAACTGTAATTTTGCATCGATTTCAATATAAATTGATACCAGTATATGTTTTTCCCTTCGAAGGTAGTGTAAAAAAAGTACTAAAGATAAACAACATTTTATTTTGATGTTAATTATTGTTAGGCATCGTAAATAATAAATAGCGTCTTATTTGGAGAATTGGGGATAATTGGACACCAATAACAACCCGTAAAGTGGAAATGCTTCACAAAATTCAACTTCTTTTGAGTTGAAAGTTCTCTTATATTCTAGGTTAGGATATAGTAATGTGGGTAAAATGACACTTTGCGCTTGTTCGATTGGTGCATAATTGGGATAGATGACCAGAAATATTGTGTTTTTACAACCGACCCCGTGGTTAACTTTACCTACTACTACTCCAAAATCCCATCCACTTATAGAACACCCTTCCGAGCAGACCCTTACCCGTAACCATTACAGGACCGTCCTAGGAATTCATCTATCTACACTAATAAGCCGGATTTCTTGAGCAATTCTTGAAACATGTACATAAAAAAATTAGAACAAAGTAACAATTTATTACGTTCTATTTCATTAAATTTCTACATAGTATCATTATTAATGTAGAAAATATTAAATATAATAATAGTAAAGTATTAGTCACTTAAAAAATCCTCACTATCGCTACTGTTGTCACCTAGTTTAATGATCAACTCCGCCACTAATCGTTCTCGATATTTTTTATTACCCGTTTTTCACAGTTGGAGTTCAGCTTTGTGCTGATATTTTAGCTACCTCCTTCCGAAAAATTTTGGTGCAGTGTTATTTCTTCTTATATACGCTTTCAACTCAGACCAAATCATCTCAATACCATGATACGGGGGTAATCTCAAGATTTCATGCCCGTTTTGTTGTACTGCCGAACCGCCAATGTAACCTATAGTCTTAAAAAGAAGAAGAAGAAATAAAGGAAAGAGCAGAAAAGCTTTAAATTTAAAACAGTGCTCTAACTCTAACTATGGTTAATGTAACAAAATTTTCACAAATCAATTTGGTGATTGGGCTTTCCGGCAATCTTACTAAATGCATTTTTTTCAAATTTCGAGAACCATCCCTTTTCCTAATACCGTACTTGCTTGCGGTTACTGGGTCACAGGGTACCTATGTCATTCTGTCAGTTTCTGATGTTATTAAATATTGGTTCATTTTTGAAAACGGAAACGACGTAAAAAAACTGCTTATGCAAAATCAATACGTTAAACCGACCAACCCCGTCCACGCTCCGTCATAATCCCGTCTATTCATCACCGTCAGACATAAATCAAACAGTCTGCACCGGTCTTCCTTCACAATCGATACTTTCGCAAAGGAAGCAATCAAATACTCGTATCCGCCTGAAACGAAACAAAATATACCATAAAACATATTTCGACTTATACGCTGATCCGGCTCGTTACAGATTCAGCGATCGCCGTATCCGAAAGGGCTTTACAAACTTGTTTGAACATGCAACCGGGGCGCCGCCGACGCCGCCATCGCCGCCGAACGTCGGCTATATTGAAGTGTTGCTTCTTTAAAGTCAGGTGCGGGATTTTAACGTATGCGGCAAGAATTTTGCAGAGAGGATTCAGGGGAAGCGGGGCGAACTTTGTTTCCGTGCTTGGCAACGCGAATTTTAAGTAGCGAATATCGTATTAAAATTGTAAATCTACCGAATTTTCTACAGTGCCGACTTTGGGGAAGTTTCTTATTTAGGGGAGAGATTTACTCTCGTCGTTGCGTAAGTCGTTTTGCCCGTGTTCCTACATTTTACCAACCCCTGATTAGCAAAAGTCAAAGCTTCGACTCAAAGACAAAAACAAAACTAGGTCTCTTGCCAAAAATGTCCAAATCCAAAGGAGCCAAATCAAAAAAAAATTTTAGTTAGAGTCTATTTCACTTTTTGTTACGTTTGAGATCTTAATTAACATAATTTTTACACTTTTTCTTGACACTTTCGTTCGTTGATCACTTCACTATGTTTTCACTTGTATAGCAGGTATGATTTGGGAAACATTACAATTTCCTTTGATTTCCACTGGTAGGAAAAAAGTGAGCCGGTTGTCACTTACGACTTTTAATCTGTCAAATTAAAGTTTTGTCCTTGCTTCATACTTAAAAGTACTTCTAAAAATGGATCCGGCGGAAACCCTAATGACGGATTGCTGGGGAGCAAATGCTTGTCATCTGTGAACGTTAATGAGGCGCGTGTCTTCTTTTAAATCTCTTCTTTGATCTTTTAAATTTATGCCATTTTTTAATTTAACTGAAACATTTATACGAGTAAATCAATAAAATATTATTATTAAACAGACCTGTTGATGTTTTTAAAAAAAATCGTATTTGCCACAAAAATTGAACATAACCAAGAGCAAGGAGATTGCCGATAAATGACCCACAATATAACCAACCATCCAGTAGAGAACTTTTTTTGGAGTTAATTACCATTTAGCCTAAATAGGAAGGCGGGACATTTGCCGCTGTTTAATCACACTTTTCGAACAACCTGGTAACTTTTTTGGTTGGCACAATTCATTTAGTTTTGATTTGTGAACATGAAATCTCATCAGTTGAAAATAATATACATAATTTTCAATTTAATTTAACTAGGCATTTTTACAATATCCCATTTCAAATCGACGGGCGATGTGCAAAACATCAGGAAAGAAATAAGACGAATAGAAAAATGAAATTGAATCATTGGTATACGTGTTCCACAAATAGTCAAAAACGTAGAGAGTTGAGAAATGGCACAACAAACGACAAATTTACTTTACGTTTATCCAAATTGGACCCCGAGTTTTTCTGTTCTTCAATTGCCAAAGGCTATAAATTTCCATAAAGGTCAAACCGAATTCGAGATCTGTTCACGTGTCGAAGCTGTAGTTATATTTTCTTGTAGCTACACTCAGAAAAATAATGCGCTTTGAAATCCACCAGGAATCACCTCGCAATAAATCACATAGCGTCTTATTGATTGATTGATTATTTATTTTATTTTACAACGTGAAACGTTTCCTTCGTCACGACCCCCTCAATTTCCCGATCCTTTTGTCAACTATTCACACAGATTTCATTAGAGTTTATGGGTGCTTTTTAAAGGTTTATAAAACAAGAATAACACCTCCCATAAAGTTAACAAGCTTGTTATCGGGGAGCGCATTGTGTTTTGAATTAATAAACATAAAATATCAAAGAGCAGACATTTCCGTTATTGTCGCTACGGCAAGGAGTTTATCGGTTATCCTAGTTATCACGGACCCCGAGTCTCTATAAGTTGAAAATAATAGAAAATTATTTTTTAAGCTGATCGTTATTTGAAATTGGAATAAAGCTAAAAGGTTTTGTTTGGGAACTTTCTAAAAGCGATCTCTCACACTGTACTCTCTTTAAAAACTACCATGAAAGTGACGAGGCATTTATTTGCTGGAGAAATAAATGGTGTGCTGCAGTAAGAAGAGGTTTACTAAAAGAGCTGAATTTCAGTAAAAATCAGAAGTGATTATGATG